CTAATAAAACAAGATGTACGCCAGATGTTGAAAAAAAAAAATTTTAAGCAAGAAAAAATGATTTACTCTCTTTATTACAAGTGAGCCCCAACTTAAGAACTCAAGAACCTTCAAGACAACTGATGCAGTGAGATGAAACCTCTGGTCAAAGTCTACTCAAGTTTGAGAGTCTTGCTTAGTCTTCAGTTGCATGAGGAAAGGCCTATAGCAGTTCTCTTTTCTTCAATTCTCTTGCATCTTTTTCTACTCTTATCTTATTATTAAAACTATACACACTATTATCATTATACTTACTAAGTCAAATACCTTTCAAAATACACACTTAAATAAAGTTAATGGATTTACTGTTTGTTTCAAGTCAATCCTCATATATAATATCTTTATAGCAATATCTGCTACACCACTTTCAATCTCCAAAAATTTTTTATACAAAAAACTGAAATCAGTTTACTTCCTTCAGATGATCAGCACTCTCCAATCATCCAATCAGATTTTACTTAAAGATTAAAACAAAATCCAAATATGTTTAAACCAGTTTTATATCACAACAATAATCATAACTAGGGCTCCTAACGATACCACTTCAATATCACTTCGATACCAGTTCGATACTTAAATTTACTATAAAAACATATGAATAGGTCACAACCCATATATTAAATTTACTATAGATTGGTACTATTTCGATACCAGTTCGATACCAGTTCGGTACTTTTTCGGAACCCTAATCATAACAACAACAACAACTAACTTACTATTAACAACTATAATAACAAATAATTTTACATATACTTTATTATCTATAGTAACCAAAAAGCCAGAGAGATGGAACCACAAGCCTGTCTAAGAGCTTTCTTGGAGAAATAATTGGTTTTCTACTTATAGATTTTATAGTTTATTTATTGCAGTTTTAATTATAGTTACATTTATTTTCTTCATAATTATCATATATTCAAAAATACAAAAGAATTTGCAAAATTTCCTGAGATGATAGGAATAGCCACTACTCAACCTTATCTAGTACATTAATATTGGTTTTGAATTTTTTTATGATATTAGTTAGATATTAATAAATAGGCAAGCTAGCATTTAACTTTTCTAAAATAATGAAAGAGATGTTGTTTCTTTCAATGATATATACCTTGTTATATACAATATCAAAATAAAGAAATGGTGTTTATCTACTGGAAAAACCTTCCAAAAAAAAAAAAGTTATTATTTAATTCTGAATTATCAAATGTTAACAAATCTTAATATAATATATAAATTTTAATATAATATAACAAATTTTTATTTAATAAAACTAAATAATAAATATAATATGAAGAATTTAAATATAACAATATCAAATAATAAAATTTTAATATAAAAATATCAAATAAAATATTATAATAATATAAAATAATACAAATAATAATATAATAAATATCAAATTATATAACAAAACAATATATAAAATTTTTGACCTGTGGGTTCATAGTGCAGTGGTTAGCACTCCACAGGTCAAATCACAAGATACCAGTTCAACTCCATGTGAAGACAGTTAAACAAGGCCACATGGTATCTGGCACTATAACCTGTTATGTGCTGTTTCTCATAGGAAGCCGTTCCACACGCTAATCCAGCGGGCATTGAGATTGTGATTTCCAGTTAAGGTGCTACAGCGTGTTGATCGTCTGGTTGGTGTTACGATGATCAACGTAATGTTTGGTGCATCCCCCAGGTTCAAAACAGGTCATTTCCCTTCCCTATAGTCCACGAGACTGTAAAAGAAAGCTTGCTAACCTGATTAGGCAACTTTGAAGAGGATCACTCTACCAGTAAACAGCTCTCGAACTGTATAAGGACAATGTGGTAAGACAGGGTATGTAGAAGTTGCGTCTTGCTTAATATTCATACCCCTAGGCTTGGCAGCCTACACCAACCGGCCCATAACAGAATATTTACTAGGAGATTAAGGGTTATTCCTTAAGAAGTTATGCCCCACTTGGCTATATGGTCCCTAGATTTGGTAGTGTCCAATCAGCGGCAAACTGGAGCATTCACTAGGGAATACATACCTGCATCAATCGGTCCGAGCTGCAGCTGGAGTCAGGTGGTGGTAGGTGAGATGTGATAAGAACCCTAATGATGGTGGCAAGTAACAAAATGCCTTTCAAATAGACCACGCCTGGATTGCGAACCCACCTCCGGGATGTTAATTGGTAGCCAAGTTAGAATTAGAGGCAGTGCTAGGATTAGAATAGCTAATATAGTTAGTCAGACTCTTCATGTAATAATTGTAACTTCAATGCTAAGTTAATAAAGTTCGCATGTAATGCACTTTGTCTCTAAAAAAAAAATATAAAATAAAAATAAAATAAAAATATAAAATATTATTTATTTATTATTATCTAATATATTTATTTATATTATATTATATTCAAATAATTCTTTTAATATAATATAATAATAAACTTGCTAATTTTATTTTAACAATATATTTATTATAAAAATATAAAATAAAATAAAGTAATTAAAATTATTAAAATTATTAAAACTGTTATTAAAAATTGAATTTTTTTTTTGTGAATAGGTATTAAATATAAGACTTTATTTAAATAAAAATATTTACTATTATTACATTAACAATCTCTACCTAGGCAGATTAATTATAGCCTATTGCAGTAAAAATTAAAATTTCTATTGATATTGTTGCAGTATTAAATTAATATTGGTTTAGAACTCTTAAAAATAATAAAATAAAATAAAAACTAAAACTAAAATAAAAATTCCAATAAAAATTATTTTTTAAAGTTATTAATTAAAAATAAATAAAATTTTTTCAAGTAATATAAATAAAAGTATTAAAAGTTAATATTTAAATTATTTAAATTAACAGTTTTATATTTAAGTTTTACAAAATAATTATAATAAAATAAATAGAAAAATCAAATATAAACAATTATTATTTATATATAAATAGTTAATCAAATAAAATAATAATAATTAATTTTTTATATTTATATTATTTATATTAATATTTTTAATAAATAATTAAATATTTAAGTATATTAAAAAATATTAGAAAAAATTAATCAATATAATTAAAAATTGTAAATATTTATTTATTAATAAATTTTAGTTTTTTATTATAATATATAAAAATATATATATTTGATAAAAATTAACATCTCTCAAATTATATGAGTTAAATAATAATACTTAGAACCATTTAACACAAATTATATATGTATTTATATTTAATTCAGACATTTTTCAAAACCCATATTATGTTTGTATTACTAAGTAACAATTAATAATTAATTGGAAATCATATTGTTGATCAAATTTCCTTTTATAGTAATAAATAAACATGTATAATTCAAATCTCTTAAGTCTTATTAGAAAAAGACAACTAATAGATTTCTTTAGAACAAGCTATTCATTTTGAAAAAGAAAAATTAATCTTTTATCCAATTACCTAGAATTTAATCTTCCATATGTAACACCTAAGACTATTTAATATAAACATACATATATTAAATTAATAAAAATATAAAAATATATAAGAATTAAAAAACAATAATAAAGTCAAAAATTAAAAAAAAACTGAAATAATTATTCAAAAATAAAAAACATTTGAAAATATAAAATCTTTAAAAATCATAAAAACTATAATAAAATTAATAAAAGAAAAAATAGATATTAATTAATTATTATTTTTATAATTTGTTAAATATTTAAATAAAATTATTATGGATAAAAAAATTGTTAATCATTATTATGTTAAATTTGATATAAATATATTAAACTATTAAATATTGTATTTTTTATTGTTAAATATATTGTATTTTTATTATTAATGTATTTATTTATTTAAATATTAAATAACATAAATTGAATTAAATAATAAATTTTCAACATATATTTTTATTGACTGTAATTTGATAATCAAATAATATAATGAGTTGTTTTTTTTTTATTTCTAATCAAACAGTAATCTAAAAGTATTTGTTAATTTTTAATCTGAATATAATAATAATATAAATATTATATTATAGTTAAACGTTTACTAATTGTAACATACCAGTACATAAGTACTATAGATAAGTTTTTTAAAATATTTATAAATGTATTTAAGAAATGTATTTAGTGAAAAATAACACAAGTTAATAAAATCATTTCAATTATCTATCAAATCCACCTTTCACCCCTGTTCTTGCGCGAAAGAAATCGAACAATCACATGGACCAGTTCCTACTATTACAGTAATTTGAAATCTATAAACTCAATGCTTATTTATTTTCTATTCGTAAGTAAAATATTTTCGTGTGTTACAAATAAATAATAGCTTATTATATAATATTATTTTTAAAAAACTTTCTTCTTATCCAACGAAAATTTCATTAAAACGGCATCTTTCTGTGCAGAAGTTTATTATTCAAGCTGCAAGTCAACAAAACACCTATTATATTGCCGAATAATATAACTTGTGTAAAGTCCAAAAGCTATCTGCATCACAATCAATAGAATGTTTAACATGTGAAATTATGGAAAGCGCGTAAACTTACTATACAGAATATCATATTTTCTATTCTATGTATAATAATTTGTTTTTTATAATAATATTTAAAGTTTGAAAGAGCAGGGCATCCCGATAAGAGGTGCCCTCGCAACTTTCTTGAAAAATGTACTTTAAAGTATCATGCGTTATTATTCCTTAAATACATAAGTTAGACAAAATTTACGCTTGTGTGCATCGAAGATCATTTAAAAACAAACCTTGTTCTATTTTAACATCATTGTAGGTAAATTTCTTAAAACTTTATTTCCACGCGAGATAATTACTTTAACGAAGATATAATGAACCTTCTTAAGCCGCTATCAAAAATTTTTATATATAAGCAGAACCTTTTTCGATTTGACTCTTCAGTTCGAACTCGAGAACTTCAGTTTAATCTTAAGTTTATATCTTACAACTCGTTAATAAAAACTCAAATCCTCTACTTTTTATAAAAATGAAATTACAAGCTGTCTTCTTTATTACCTTATTCTTCAGCACTTTCGTGGTATCGATTACCTACCCCCACAAGCAACTTTTTTCCTGTTCTTACATAAGAGATTCATGCCAATCTTCAATTTGTTGGGGAGAAGCTAGTTCTTTAAAAGGTAAATTACCGCATTAATATACATTGGCTTTCTTTTTCTATTAAGAGACCTAAAAATTTTTTTTCATCAAATGAAGGTTTGGCCCATAGGAGCCATCCTTACTGTAAAGTTGTGATAAAGGATCACAGTGGAATCGTCTGCGATGAGAAGGTAATATCATCGTGACATTCCTAAAATTAATAGCGATAAACACAACTAATGATCCGATCTTCAAAATAGGTCTCAGCTCATTCATGCAAAGAAGTGACGGACTATTTCACACGCGGAAATGAGTTGTTTGCCGAAATCAAATGCTATCAAGATAATCAATGTATTGGTGAATGTTGGTTGAAAGCAACTAAGTGAATGTTGGTTAAAGTAAATTGATAAATGTTGGTTAAAGTAAAATAATGAATTTGGGTAGAAAGTAAAGGACTAATAGATGAATTGATTTCATTTGTTTTTTTGTTTGTTTTTTTTGTAATGCTTTAAAGTGAATTTTAATAAATCAACATTACCGTCGAATATTTCTATACTTTGTTGTTAATAATACTGCATTGTATACATTATAGTATAATATTAGTACGAGTGTTAATATTTAAATTATGCCATCTTGTGAATTTTAAATGGCTCATGTCAATAATCAAGGCTCAACTTCACAAATAACAGAAATTTAAGTTAGCTATGGAACGTCATACTGACAGAGTTACAGATAAACTATTAAAATTGTTTCTAATATATATTGTAACACGGGAAAAAGTAACGCGCCTCACACTGAATTCTGGGTTCCCCACGATATTGGGAAGAAAACAGCGGTATCAAGCACAATGCGCGTGATAAAAACTAGCGTGAGCCTGAAGAAAGGGAAATGTTAGAAGGAAGTAGAATCGCGACACAATCGCAACGATTGCCACGTGACCTGGTCGTGCAAGGATCGATCATGGGAGATCGATTAATAGAATTATGTAAAAGAGTAGTGTGAAAATCAAATAAAATTTGCTCCGTCATGAGATTTTATAGTTTTTGCTTTATTTGTATTTATCATTTTATTAAGTAATGAGTGTGCAAGAATGTATAAAAGAAAGAAGAAATTGAATAAAGGAAAAGTAGTCTGGTCCAGTTAAAAAGGGTTTTCGGCCAACATCAAATCCGCCTCGCCCCTAATAAAATATTATTCTTACCTAACAAACGTTGCGCGAATCTTAGCTTCCATTAGCGACTGGCTCACCGATCAGCGTTACAATATATATATATATTTAGTAATTAAATCTGGAGGTCTATAGTTAAAAGATCAAAATAATATCATCACCGAGGTTTCTTTTTAATTTCAGATCTTGATAAGAAATTATGTAGATAAGATATGATTCATTTATGCAATTTATTATATATTTATATAAGTTATTAGTCCGGGGTGTAAGCGTAGGACTATACAATTTCTACGTAATGTGGTAGAATGTCCGCGTTTCCCGGTTTTCGTTTTCATAATATGGAAATTATATTTGTAATATAATAGTTATTATAACAATAAGTAAATAACATATATATCATTACAAAAAATTTTTTTAAAAATTTTTAATATTGTAATATTGTAAGTAATTGGATTTTTTTTTGTAAAAGATTAAATAAATTATTTTATTTAAAAATTAGAACAATTTAAAAACAAATAAAATAAATATATAACATGTAAATTCTAATCAATTCTTTATTATCTAAGTCATATATATGTACAAGAGGATTTTTCTTATATTAGTAAAAATTCTACAAATTAAAACTAAACCGACATATTTAAAAAAAACAAATCATATTCTAATAATATAAAAAAATAATTACTTTATATGATTTTTTATAACAATATAATAATTATTTTAAATTTTAAATCAAATAATTTAAATTAACAAAATTTTTATCTTTAACAAATTTTACTTAATATATTGACTTATATGTTTAATATTAATTAATGTAATTAAATTATAAAAATTATAATATATAGGTTAATATATAAATATTAATTTGTATAATACTTTAAAATATTTATAATTAAATAGATTTACATATTTAATATAAATTATTTCATAAAAATAAGTTATTAAAATATATTTTTTTATTTATTATGTCGAAAAAATTTTTATTAAAATTTTCTTTTTTTTTAATATATTATATAAATTATAAACTTAAGAACATAAGTATTTTAAAAACTATTATTATATTAATATAAAAAATTTTAATATAAATTATAAATTAAACAAATTTAAAAGTTTAACTTGTTTTTTAATTATATAAAAAAAGAATTATAATAATTTTTTATTTTTATTATATATTATTAAAATAAACTAATAAATTTACTATTATATTATAATTGCTAATTAAATTATATTATAAAAAATATTTTAATATAATATAAAATAAGTAAAAATATTAGACAGTATAATAAATTAGTAGATAAAAACTTTTTATTTTTGCATTTTATTGTTTTATATAATTTTATTTTTTATATAAAAAAATTAAATTTTAAAAATTAAAAAATTTAAAAATATTAATCTTTTAAGCTTCAATTATATATTAACTATAGTAGATAAAGCTTTTATATAATAATATAATTAATTTTTTTCTATTATCTTATAATATATAATTTGATTCAAAAAAACTAAAATAGATTATATTTTTAATTTTATTTATAATTTAATAACTAATAAATAAAATATTATAATATATATATATACAGTATAGTGCAAAAAAAATAACAATTTTTTTATAATTATATTTTAATTAATAATTTCATAAATGATTTTTTTATAATTTAATATTTTATCAATTTAATTTTGAAGATATAATAAAAAAAAACCAATTAAATAATTTTAAATAACAATAAGAATTTCTTAATATATTTTGTTTTAAAGTTAAAAATATCATTAGAAAAATTGATTCAAAAATAAGATTACAAAAATTTTTTTAAAAAAAATTATAACTTTTAATTTAATTAATGAATTTATTAAAAAAACAATATATATAAATATTAGAAATGTTCAAAAATATTTATATAATATTTTTATATTTTTATAAAAATTTTTAATATTAAAAAATTAAATCTTTTTAAAAAAATATTTTTTTTTACCTATTTCTGATTACTTTATATATATATATATAAAAGAGTAAAAAATTTTGTTATAAATTTTTATAAATTTTTAATAATTTTTTTTAAGTTATAATTAAAAATATAATTGTCATTTTTTTTTGTACCATACTGTATATAAAAGTAATAAAGTAAAAAAAGTAAAAAATAACAAAAGAAAAAAAAGTAAAAAATAAATAAATAACAGTAAAATATTTAAAATTTCATTTTAGTAAAAAAGAATAAATAAAGAAGAATTTTTTTTATGGTTTTGGTTAAGATTTTTTTATAAATTTATAATTGAAAAAATAATCTATAAAATTAAAAATTTTTTTATAAATATACAAATTAATTTTATAAAAAATTATTTTATTTAAATTTTTTAATTAAATTTGCTTTTATTTTACAAATTAATAAATTAAGATTATTATAAATAAATTATTTTTTTATTATAATTTAATTAAATTAATATATTTTTTAAAAAATTGTTTTGATATTACAATAAATTTCAATAAGTTTTGATAATATATCAATAAAAATTTATTAAATAAATTTGTTTTTTATATTTGTATTAATAGATATTTAAATTTTTTTTTTTTTTTTGAAAAGAGCAAATGGCTATCACGCTTTATTATATTTATTATACTTTCACTTACAAACATGG